AAAAGTTTGAAAATATCAATTCAAATGATTTGTTATTAATTTGATTATAGAAATTCAAAAACAACAAGGAAGTCTCAGTGTTTCTGTGCAATCATTGTATTAACAATCAATTGTACGATATTTTGGACGCTTTAATGTCGAAACAACTGATTCGCGTCAATAAGTTAGTGTTGGATCAGTACAACTGGACAGCCGTTCATAGAGCTGCCCATCTCAAAGATACTCGACTCATGCATATGTTTTTAAGTAGAGGTAAATGTAATTTATTTTTAACTATTTATTATTAATAGTAATTAACTAAAATATTATGTATTGTACTATAACTAATATTTAACTTGCTAAATTTTACAAGCATTGAATTAAATTAGTTATAGTTTACTATTAATTTTTTTTAGATTAATCTATTTTAAAAATCAAATATTTTTGCTAAATCAATGATATATTTATCTTAATTCATGTTAATATTGATTAAAATATAAGTTTTTAAACCGAAAATATCTATACGAATGCTAATCAAAGGTAATGTCCTTTGGAAATGACTCGATATATGTATTCAGCCGTGAGTTCAATGATAAGGAAAGTTAAATAATGACTAAAATGCTGGAAATAAAGTTAAAGAAAATTCTAGTCTCAAGTGTGTCCTTAGGATTATATAAGGAAAGGACAGTTGGTTTTTTATATTTTGTAATGATAGTGCCGCTTATTATAAATAAGCACAAAAAAAAAGATTTTAAAAATATTAATTATAATAAAATGCACATAAAATTTGCATCAGGATGTCAATGTAAAAATTAAAAACTCTAATTAATATTTATTATAATATTGAAATTTAATCAATCAATGCTTTCTAATCCTCCATAAAATTGTAGTTTAATTTAGTTTATAAATTAATTTTAATTTGAAATTTAAAAGTTCTTGAAATTAATTTAATTAAATATAATCAATTTTAACACTTTATTAATTCTAAATGATAATTAATTTTTTAAATTTTGTTGAATATTTATAATTAAATGGTTAATAATTTTAATCTTAGATTTTTAAAAATATATATAAATATTAAACTTTTCATTACCGGTATTAATTTGACAGATTGTCCACTAAATGTCACTGATATTAATGGAAACACACCTTTTCACGTATTACTACAAACAATGAAATATCAAAATATTGATCCAAATTATATTTATTATTATAATGACATGGATTATAATGAGCATGATAATATATTGACAATACTACAAATGATGGTCAATAACGTGCAGTACAAACAATGTGTGAGTAATATATTATTGTTTTCATGAATATCAAGAATCTAAAGAATTTTATTACAAAATTTTAGACTAAACTTAACAAAAAAATTTCCATATATTTAGGCAAATGTACTAAACATAGGAAACAAATTTGGAAAAACAGTTTTACATTACGCTGTGATCAACGCCAACGAGAAAAACATGAAAC